CAGAAACAGTTTGCCAATCCCTGCTCTAGGTGGAAAAACTGAGGCCTGGGGGTGTGAAATGTCTAGTCTAAACTCACACAGGCTTTAAAGGCAGAATCACAATTCAAACCTAGATCTTCTAACTCTAGGGACCCTTTGGGGTGGTTTTCCCTCTATTTTTGCCCCCTTGAAATAATAATTTCTACTTATATAGTGCTTATTGTCTTCCTGGCATTGTTTTAAGTACTGTATTTATATTAAGTCTTTTAATCATCAAAACAGCCAACAACATAGGTACTATAATTATCCCCTATACTTGGGGAAATTGAGGCACGGGTTAGTTAAGTATCTTAACGGAAGTCCCACACCAGCAAGACAGAGCCAGGTTGGGGACCCAGGCAGCCAGACTCTGAAACACTGTAGACTACTCTGTCTCTTTCAATGAGTGAACCAAACCACAAGTCCCAGGGAAGAGAACCCACTGAGTGGTTTAATGGTTCTAATCCTACTTACTTCTCTCTTGAGCTTTATTTAGGTCAAAAATGATATGAAGTTGACTGTTCTGCTTTCTGAAGCCTGAAGTGAACTTGGATTAGGAAAGTGGCTCCCAGTCACCTTTAAAATGAAAGTCTGTGACAACATATGATCAGAAGTTCTTGGGGAGGGACAGCCTTGATTTTGGCTTTCAGTTTCCATCCTTGCTTTGTGATCTTTCACTGTATTACCCTGAAAAGAGATTTACAAAGGAATGACAACATCGCTGCAAGTAGGAACCGCAAAGACACGTCTTCAGGAGTGTGGGAAATCTCACCTGAGGTTTGCCTGGGGTCTGGGAGCAGAGGAAGAGGCCACTGAAAAGAACAACGGCTGGAGATCAGTTCACGTTGTGCAACAGGTCCTCGAGTTGCTCTTCCCCCATGCCTATGTGCGCAGTACCTGGAACCAGTTAGAAGAATCTAATCGTCTGAATCTGTAGAGCTTTATTGTGCTGTGTATCATCACAAATTAGCCTTCCATTCACTAGATCCAGGAAACCTTCTAAGTCCTTTTACTTAATTACTTAGTTAAGTATTTATTCACTAGTGTTTCTTTCAAACAGATGTATCAGTGTTTTATAGAACAGTAAGGTTAATAAATAACATTGGGGTGTTTGCTTCACTGACTGAAGAAAGTCAGATATACTAGAATTTTTTGTGGGGATGGAGTTGGGAGAAATAAAGGGAAGAGAAGGAACTGAGAGGGGCAGAAAAAGAGAAGTTATTTTTCTCCAGGAAGACTCGGCCTGTGCCACGTGGCTCCGTACGTGGAGCTGTGCCGAGCTTGTCCACTGGATGTTCAGAATGGAGTAAGGAGATGCAGGAGTTGGTCAACTATGGCTTGTGGGCTGAATCTAGGCTGCTGTCTGTTTTTGTAAATAAAGTTTTATTGGAACACAGACATGTCCATTTGTTTCCTGTTTTTGTAAATAAAGTTGGAGCCCATCCATTCAAATACACCTTGTTTGTGGCTGCTTGTGTGCCACAGTGGCAGAGATGAGTAGTTCCAACAGAGGTGGTAATATCTCATTTAATGTAAAACGTTTATTATCTGGCCCTTTACAGAAAAAAAACTGCTGACAATAGTTATAAGGGAAGACTGGTTATTTCACTATTATGACATTTCTTTTTTGGAGACTGTAGGCTGCATATATTACATAGCAGTGGAGAGCTAATTTCAGTGTGAGTGAAAATGTCTTTTAAACCATTCTCTAAAGCTGTGTATAAACATTAGTATTTCTTGTTTAACTTTACAAAACCCTGGGCTCATCCCAGCTCTACTGAGTCACTGCCATGGCAGAGCCTGGGAATGGGTATTTTTAAAAGGAACCCAGTAATCAGGCAAATTTGGGAAACACTAGCCTGGAACATACCAATTTTGCCCAAAATGCATGTTGAATTGTATCAAGAAGTTGAGACCACACTAATTGTGACAACAGTCTATACCATGAGCTACTGTGTGTATTATAGGCCACAACACAGAAGCAAGTCTAGAGTTCATTATTTGAAAAGCTCCCTGAATACTATTAAAAATAACTTTCCACATAACATTAAAAAAACATTTATTGCTGAAAAGAAGAAAACAAAAATTACATCTATTGCTTCTACCCAGAGATATATGGTTAATCTGTTAATATTTTTATGTACACACACAATCCTTTCTGGATTGAGTTAGCATAATTCTACTGAATTCTTAAAACACCATGTAATTATTTTGGGTTAAGTTGGAAGGGATTTCACTTGGGTTTCAGATTTGTAACTCTCTTGGAAGTGTTTAGATAAAGAGCCAAAAAATACATTGTTGCTCCTACGGGAACAGAACTGGTGAATATTATTATTTAAAACCTTGAATTTATATGATTAAACTTGGACAGAGCACATTTAGACTATTTAGATGTATTCTTTTTGTTCTTTCCTTGCTGTTATCAAATTATCCTTTAATAAAATCTTTTCCTTTGTAGCTCTTTATCAACTGGGCATCCACCATATCACTGTTGATGTCATGAGGATGGAGCCATTGGCATTGCAGCCCACACACTGGGCAGTCCCCAGGATTGCTTAATGCTGCTGGAGAATTCTCTGGATAAAGATCTATGCTGCATCTGTCAGGTGCCTTTGAAAATATCATAAAAGGCGATATTTCCATTGTGTTTAATTTCCATTTCCATCTCTGGGTGGTTCCCCAAGGGCTATGATGATCAGGGCAGAGGAGGAAAGTGCTACCTCATTCTGGGACTTTCCATTCTGAAGGATCAGTTTCACTGGAATCCAGATGCTTCCAGTCACTGATTCTCTTGGCAATATCACTACCACCACCAGCTTTTCTGAAGGCAGACCCAGGGGCTGATTTGGGACCCACTGTGGATGTGGTATCCACTTCCCCATCAGCACACATAACATACACAACTTTGATTTCCTTGAGGTTGAACTTAGGTGTCGTGGTAAGGATGGCTGGTATCAGATGAACCTGGATGCTAGACCATTGAAGAAAGTTATACCTTTGTCTCCTCTAAGCCAGAAGTTGAGAGTCAGACATTGTTAATGAAAAAACTCAATTGGATCTTTCATACAGAGTGCATCCTGGTGTAGTGGAAATAGCATGAACTAAAAATGAGAAAACCTGGATCCTATCCGGGTCCTTTATTCCATAATCATCATTGATCCTTGAGCCTGTTGCTTAAATTGTCTGAGTCTCAGTTTGCTCATCTGTCAAATAGGGATGACAATATTGGCCATAATTATTTTATAAGATTATTCAGAAGATGAAGAGCTAGTGGATGAGACTCTTGAAAAATTATAATGCATTATGTAAGATGATATTATTAACTGTAAAATAACATCAAAACAGTAATAATAATTCCTGGAAAAATTTGCAGTTAGAAATGCAAACAGGTTTATATGTGAGTGCTCCAATCATCTGAATCTATGCAGCTTATTGCTGTGTATATCATGACAAATTAGCCTTTTATTCATTAGATCAAGGAAACCTGCTAAGTCCTTTTACTTATTAATTTAATATTTTTTGAGCAGTTTTAGGTTTACAAAAAAATGAGTGAAAACCACAGAGTTCTTATATATCTCATACCTCTCATATATCCCCTCCTATCCACATTTCTCCTCCCTATTATTAACATCTTGCATTGGTGTGGTACATTTTTTATAACTGATGAACCAATATAGATACATTATTATTAATTAAAATCCATAGTTTGCATTAGAGTTCACTCTTGGTGTCATGCATTTTAGAGGTTTTGACAAATGTATAATGACATGTATTCACCATTATAGTATCATTCAGAGTAGTTTCACTGCCCTAAAAATCCCTTGTGCTCTGCCTATTCATCCCTCCCTCGCCTCTAATCCCTGACGACCACTGCTCTTTTTCCTGTCTCCATAGTTTTACCTTTTCCAGAATGTCAGATAGTTGGAATCATACAGTATGTAGTCTTTTCAGAGTGACTTCTTTCACTTAGTAATACACACGTAAGGTTCCTCCATGTCTTTTCATGGTTTGATAGCTCATTCCTTTTTATCACTGAATAATATTCCATTGTCTATATGTACCACAGTTTATCCATTTACCTTCTGAAGGACATCTTTTTTGCCTCCATGTTTTGGTAATTATGAATAAAGCTGCTATAAACATCTGTGTGAAAATTTTTGTGTGGATGGAAGTTTTCAGCTTCTTTGGGTAAATACTAAGGACCACAAATGCTGGATCATATAGTAAGAGTATATTAGTTTTGTAAGACACTGCCAAATGGTCTTCCAAACTGGTTGTACCATTTCGCGTCCTCACCAGCATTTGGTGTTGTCAGTGTTTTGGATTTTGACCACTCTAGTAGGTGTGTAGTGGTATCTCATGGTTGTTTTAATTTGCAATTCCGTAATGACATATGGTGTTCAGCATCTTTTCATATGCTTATTTGCCATCTGTATATCTTCTTTTGTGAGGTGTCTGATCAGCTCTTTTGCCCATTTTTCAAATTGGATTGTTTGTTTTCCTGTCGTTGAGTTTTAAGAGTTCTTTTTATATTTTGGATATGAGTCCTTTATCTGGTACATATTTTGCAAAGATTTTCTCCCAGTCTGTGGCTTGTTGTTGCATTCTCTTAATACTTGTTTATCTTTAATTATTTAACCTCAACATCACCACCCAACTATTTTAAAGTGCTATTAATATTCAGGTTAATAGCTTTTTTATCAGAGTTGAAAAACCCTACCGGCCCATTGCTAGTGACCATTGACTGGTTTTGCGGTCAGTTGTATTTCTAGATGGGATCAAGTCACTGAGCCCATCAGCCGCTCAACCTCAAACCTCAAGTTCTTAATGGGGATCATCGCTGCTACCATCTGAGAGTCAGCCTGCGGCCCGTCCAAGTTGGCTGGGTCTCGCTGAGCTGATTGGAGCTGCCGACATTTTTGCTGACTGGAGTCATGCTATCTTTGCCAGTTTGCTGGAATAGACACAGGCACTGATTGGGTCATGCTGAAGACATTCCTGTCTTGTGAAGCAAGACTGTTTGTATTTTAGGTTTGCCAGGACTAATGAATTAAAACATTTGGACTCGCCACAACTCGCTGTTTATCAATGCCTCTGACAGGAGGAGGGTTTTCTTTTGCTCTTGCTTTTTCTAGAAGCATGACAACATCCTGGCTGTTGGAGAGGCAAGGAAAGGAGAGAGGGGTTGTGGAGGGAAGAGGAACAGGGAGGCCCCGTGGGACGCTGGGGTCTGGGGGAGAGCAGGTAGCAGCGAGCCACCCTGACAGCTGTCATTGCTCCTCAGATTGTCAGTGGCTGCTATGTAGCAGGTGCAGCCTGCTCTCTTGCTAAGTCTCTACTCCACAAAGGCAACGACTGGCCAAGGCAGCGGCTGGCCCTGGATTACACAAGTGTAGACACTCAACCAAGTGAGGTAAGGCAACAGGTGTGAAAACCGAACTAAACGCTCGGAGCACCAGCAACTTAACCAAAGCTCTGTTACAGCCGAGAGGAGGAACCAGTGGTCCATTTCCCCAGGCGGTGTGATGAAAAGGCAAGTTGGTTGAGGGGCTCTTGTGGTCAACACCTCGTGGAACTCAAAATCCACCTCTCTTCGTTGCCGCCATCCTTTCAGAGGCAGACAGATGTTCTCGGTGGCGCGGAGGGGAGGGGCTCTGATTAGCTGTGTTTATCAATTCCATTTCCCGTTGCTGGAAACCACACCAGAGATCTCTACAAAATCCTGGAGGCAAATGTCCACCTCTTGTGCTTTATTTCTCGGTGTAGGGAAGCGTTGGGAGATTTAGCCAAAAGAGGAGCACAGCTTTTCATCCTTAGATGTTATGATAAAATGTTTTGATGATGGTACAGTGCGTAACAATAAGACTTTTTCTTTTAGCTACAACTTTGAGTGGATTTTTATTGTTTATTTTGTTAAATTTGGGACAGTCTGTTCTATTCCCTAGGAACAGGTGGCTAACAAGAAGGTTGACTCTAAGCAGATGAGACTACACAGAAATGTATGTCAGAGCTAAGATAAAACGAATCCTAAGTCGAGTAACAGCGATGTTCTACTACCCTTTTCTTACATCGAATGTTTCATGTTGCTACTTTTTTTCTAACTTAGAATGGCATGACTTGGAGTGCTGTATGGTTCATTGCTATTTGTATTGTTAAATGAATGGGCAAATACGATCCTAACTGGGTGGTAAACAGTTGCTGGTTTTTCTCCAAAACTATATTAGGTGTTTAATATAAGCCTGTTCTCTTTTCATACACTGGGTAAGATGATTCCATATGTATGTATGTCTAAATATATATGTGTGTGTATATGTGTGTGTGTATGTATATATATGTATGTGCATTTTCTTTGGCTCTATAAATAATTGTAAAAACAAAATTCAGTGTTCTAGACACTATTTTTAGATACAGAAAAGTTATGGGAAAAAGTCCGAAACCTTGCTATGAGAAAATATCCTGCTAAAGCAGTTCCCAGAATCTCGCTAAGGATGGCTAAAGAGATGATTTATTTTTTGCCATTTTTAGAGACATTTTTCCTTAAAATATCATTCAGAGTTTTTGGTTTACTGATTCCGTGAGAGAGAAAGTAGAGAGTTTAGGGGAAGCAAGACTAAAAATAGAAAAGTTAAATATATATAGTTAAATAACAAAGATATCATGTGTTTATAATAGTATCTTTTCCTAGTCTCATTGGACAAAAATGATCAAATATCTTAGTTAAAATGCATTTGGGCTAATTCTATTCTTATAGCATAGACATGTTCATGTATTTTTTGCCCATCCCAACCTATCTTATCTGTAGGATGTTTTTCCATTCATTCTATCTTGGTTTGTTAATTAAATGATAATTTAATAGGTGAAATAGAACATCAATAGGATGTTTTTAGGTTTTATCTTTTGCTTGTGTCATACATTGTCAAGATGTACAACCTTAGAAATGTTAGATAGATTTACAGGTAGTTAATCAGATATTTAAAGCACATCATATTCGTAATATAACTATGGGGTATTTTTAAATAGTCTTTGGTATTCTTGAAATGATTCTATGATACTCATTCTTTACTGCTCCCAGATCAATAATTCAGATCCGATTTAGGCTCTTGAGTGTGAAAAGCTAGTCTAATCTGAAGCCATCTGATGCCCTGGTAAGACTTCTTTACCTCCCTCAATTAAAAATTAAACACTACATAAGACCTTGAAGGGCCAGAGTTGGGCTGGTCAGTGTGAAGGGATACTAAAAAAGTGAGAGCAGTGGAGATTTTGCTCCATCTTGTGTATTTCATTCTAGATGTATATTTCTAAAGCAATTTTTCTATAAGCCATGAAAGTAATTTATAATGGGGTAGGCAAATACTTTCAATGTAGGGAAAGAAAGCTAGGAACTAGGAGTATCTTTAACATGAGAAATCAATGTTTACTTACTTTCCTCTCTAATTTCCAAGGGCACCTGAGTATTCAAGGAATGACCTTGGGTGAAGTGACAACAGCTCTCTCTTTTCCCTACAGCTGGAAGACCCAGGGGAAGGCCAAGGCGCAGGTGCCCACATGATCAGCACAGCCAGGGTACCTGCGGATAAGCCAGTACGCATCGCCTTCAGCCTCGATAATGCCTCAGGTATGCTCTGCTCCGAGGCAAAGAGCCACCTTCCTGCCTGCCCCTGTTTTACCATCATCTTTTCTAGTTCCACAAAGGGCATTTAAAAATGCATGCCTGGAAGGACCTAATGATGGGGAGTGTGATTTTTCATCATGCATTGTTCGAGTGTGGCTTCCAGAAATGCCTCTGGTGATGCTTCCCCCATCTTCAATCCTTTGGTTGTTTTAGCACATTTCTTCTTCTTTTCTACTTTCCCCATTTTAGCTTTCTTTTATTATAGAATTTATGGAGCTGTAACAATTTCTAATGATAGCAAAGTATGTCATTGTTAAGACTGCATGAGGAAACGTTTATTAAGAGTTGGCAGTTGGTTAGGTAATATAAAAATATCACTGTCCTGGTTCCAGCAGCATTTCCTGACGCCTGAGTTCCGAACGCTGTTTGCTCACTGGTGCTCCCACACTTCCGGCTAAATAAACAGACTTCACCGGGAGTGATGAATGGGACAGGTGAGGTGGACCCTCTCAAAATAGTAAGGTCTGAGGTGAGGCTGCCATACTTAGAGCTCCTCATCATGGCTCCCCTCAATGACCTCTTAACACAGATATTGAGTTGCACCACCTTTGACAGGGGACTTCAGGCGGTGTGAGGTCACAGTAGTAAGGAATGGAGGCTTGGATCTCTGCCACTGATGTCAGCCTTCGCTCTCGGTCTAATGTCATCTGTTAAAATCATATAAGACATGCTCAAAAACATTATCGTTTAAACCTTGGGTCTTTTGAGGACCAATTCTATCTATCTATCTATCTATCTATCTATCTATCTATCTATCTATCTATCTATCTCTGTCTGTCCGTCAGTCCATCCGTCCGTCCATCTGTCCATCCATCTACACATACATACATTCATCCAACCATCCATTCATCCATCTACCTATCTATCTATCTATCTATCTATCTATCTATCTATCTATCTATCTATCTATCTACTTACCTACCTACCTACCTACGTGTTTTTCTACAATGCTCATGTAGTGGTAACACTTTAAAAAGTAATAAATGAAAAGGGACCCAAAATAGTACAAAGTAAGGATCTGGGCTCCGTGAAGTCTGACCTTATACAGCCACTTCAGGCTTTACTATACCAAGTGATTATGGTGGTGACACATCTATCCCCTGGTTTCCTGGGTGGTGCACTCCTCAGTGGAGGATTTATTCTAGAGTGGGAAGAGGTGAAGCCTTGACTCTTCATTATCTGTTCTTCCAACATGCTTCCCACGGCCTGCTGTTGTCCTGTATTCCCACTCAGAGGTTGCCTTGAAAGACAGTGGTGAAGGGAAATCTCCCAATAGGCAAACCAGTCCATCCCAACATTGAAATGACAACCAACATTAATTGCATTTCTCTTTTGAATTAGGTATTCTTATACATTATTTCCGATCTTTAAAATAACCATGCAATGTGGGCATTAGTAGTCCCAATTTTCAGAGACAGAGATTGAGGTCCAGAGACCACACTGCTCGTAAGTAACAAAGTTATGATTTAAACTTAGATCTCTAGACTTGACAATCTGAACTCTCTTCATTATTCCATGCTGTTTCTCTAAGAAGAAAAAGAAAAGCCCCTCCTGTTTTTATGCATCTCAGAAATGCAAGATTTTGAGAAATAGTCAGTGCTTGAGTGGCTAGCTCTCAAGACAGACACATGAAAACCCAAAATCCAGGGAGAAAGAAGATGTATAATTTTCTTCCTTGTGTTCATGTCCCACATGGGCAGAACAAGTCCTGTTACAATCAATGGCTTTTCAAAGAAAATTTCAGTATATGAAGCTTGTTTATGCCAAACAATATTATTATATCATAATTTTGGATGAGACAAATAAATGTACTGTTCCTTCATCTTCCTTTTAACAGAATTTAATTTATGTACAGAAAAGAGCCATGGAGAGGTGAATCTTGATCTTTGGGCTGCATGAATAGACTCTTCCTTGAGGTACAAGATGTATGACTTGTAATTAATTTGCTGCCATCCTTTGAACTGTCTTGGCCTCTGACTGGGAGCCCTTCATGTTCTTCATCAGTCAATTTAGACTGATTTGTTTTAGTCTCTTTCCAATGTCCTAACAAATGTCCTAATGCTCACTTTTGAAATTCATGGTTTTTGAAATGGTAGCTTCACAAAGTGATTGTCATTTATTTCAAGTAATTCCTACCTTCTAGTTCTACAAAAAGATGCTTAGGAAGCCTTATGAAGAACCTACCAAAATTAAAAAGTATTTTTCTTGTGATGGACATGTCCCCATATCTCTAGAAAGGGTACTTAGCTAGAGAAGGAAGACAGGAGCTGAGGTTCTGTGTTTCTCAACCTTTCTTAAAATAATCACCTGAGAGCACTCATCAAAAATATATTTTCCAAGGCCCTCCTCCTGTATATTCTGATGCAGGAGGCCCAGATTGAGGCCCAGCAATCTGTATTTTTGCATGCACATGCAGTGTGAGTGCACAGAAAGATGGTTTGCAGATATCTGGGGCCACTCCCTCTGAATTCTTGAGCAAGGAGCAGATGGAACATCACACTGAGCAACACTTGCCATCACACACACTGTGCATGCCTTTTGAATTCCAGTGCATTCCAGACCACACATTTAGGGAGGAAACATCCTAGACTTCCACAGTAAATGGGGAAACTAAGATGAACTTTTGGGGAGTAATTCCCTATTCGTGGATTTATTGTTGAGGAGTAAGCAAAGTCCATGAGAAGAGACTTCTTTGCCTGTGAATGTTGACTTATTCATTTCTTATGAGCCTAACACAGTACTCATTCCTTCAGTTATGTTAGGACTTCGCTTTGCATATTTTTCTGAGATGATTTGTGTAGAGGTTAAGGACACAGGGCTTTGGAGTCAGTGAGGCGTGGTTTCTAGACCCACCTCCACCACTATTTGTAGTCTCTTGCTTAAGTCACTTAACTTTGCTGAACTTCAGTTTCCCCTAAGATGTGTGTAATAATAATTCACAGAGCTGTTGTAAGAGTTAAATGACATTATATAGGTAAAGCATTTGTGCTTAACACAAATTAAGTACTCAACTGGTCCCTGTGTTTATGATAATTGATTCTGGAGTATTAAGGAAAATATAAACCACTAAGCAGTTTTGTGTCCCACCTACATCTCACACTTCTACTTGATGTCAAGGTAGAGTTTATGGTATAACTGACCTGCAATTATTTAGGGACTAGTTGTCCAGTTGGTGGGTTCTGGGTATCTCTGCTTTTCCTCTTATCAATTAGTTCACCTTTACTTAGTATCTGTGCTTCCAGCACTCTGCCCAAGGTGAGTGGGATGTGCAAAAGACGACTATGGCATGATTCCTACTATGCATTTTATAAGGCAAAGGGATTTGGGGAAAAATCTGTGCCACCCAGAGCAGATGGAAACAGCTTTTTGGAAGATATGAGAGTCTACCTGGGGTTGAAGGTGGGTAGGGTACTGAAAGGCAGTGTAGGAGAGGTGCCTTTTCTGGGTACCAGGTACAAAAAAGGGAGCTAAAAGATGTGTACATCTTCTAGCAACTCCTCCTTTTCCCTCCAAACAGAAAGCATGAGCAAAACCTAAGAGTCAGGAAGAGCATGATCTATTCAGGAAATACTAAAACTCTTGTCAACTGGAGCAGAGGTTTGAACTATGGAAGAGTAACATGCTGTTCATTGAGCCCCGATATGAGCCAGGCATTGTGCTGGCACCTATGTAGAATATCTGTTTAGAAAGTAGTAGACTAGAATAGCCAAGCCAATCTTGAAAGATCAACAAAAGAGTTTGGATTTGATCAGAAGCAATAGACTGTCAAAAGTTCCTGAGCAGGGGAGTAATATGGTGAATATGGTAAATGTTCAATTGGTGGAATAGTTTGGAATGGGGAGAGATGAGAGAATGGAAGAGGCTTTTTATAATGGTATAGAGATGAAGTAATGAGAGCCTGGATTAAAGAATGGAATGGGATGACTGAATTCAAAGTACGTTTTGAAGGAAGGGTTCAAAGGACTTGGTGACAGAGGGTCCTGGTAGACGGGGAGTTGATCATCGTTCATTGATAGCAGAATGAACTATAAGACTCCAAGTAGACCGTGGACCTCCAGGGGCTTAAATAAAGGAAGAAAGTTTTTAGGAAGAAAAAAAAAGACCTTTAAAATGCAATCACCATTTCTAGCCTATCATCAGAACCCTTCATCAAGTAACACTTAGCTAACTGCAATTCCCAGAGTCAGAAATGCCTGTCTTCAATAAGCTAATGGTACGATTGGCATTACATCCAAACTGGGAATTCCAAAGAGTTAACTTTCTAAATTGAGACCTTTGTGGAGTTAAGGAGAGAAATATGAATCCCCCCTCTTGGGTTAGTAGAGAATCACTGGCTCTTTTCCAATTAGAGAGAATTTCGGTTGGACTGACATGAGGATTTCATGTTAATTACTGGAGCGTTTTCTTTATCTTCAGTGGAGCTAAAATCTGGCACACTCTTATGTAAATTTAGACCTTGGCTTTGGGGTTCTTTTTTTTTTTAAGTTTTTAATTTTTATTTAGAAAGAGTAGCTTTCAGCATTTTGTTTTGAAAAAATTCTTCCAAGCTATTAGAATTTTTCATATCTGGGCATGAATTAATCATATAACATTTAGTTTAAAAAAATCCAAGACCCATTGTGTTGGTGTCTCTTTTAAATAATACTATTTTCTCCTCACATATCAGCGTGTTTTGTGTTGTGGTGGGAATTATGTGGACTAGCTGAATTAGCTACCCTTGAATCTAATTTAACTGGGTGTTGTGTAAATGTCTTTTGCACACTTGCAAAACTGGCTTTCAGCAAAATTTTGATGCAAGTGAAGTGTCTCTTGTCATTGTCCCCTTCCTTCAACTTTTTCTGCCCTTGGTACTTTTTGGTATTATTTCCCTCTTTCTCCTCAGAGCCCCAAAATTTCCATGCTCTCAATCTTTGTTCTCCAGAAAGATTCTGGAAAACCTCATT